AAAAAAAAAAAAAGTGTGCCTTCCAGAACTGGTGGGAAAATATTTCTCCAAGCATAGTTCTGTTCTGAATGCCCCATAACTTTTTATTTAGGGGGTCTAGATTGATTCCTGAAGTGCATTGCCATGCAAATAATTTTCACTTACTGAATATGTACTTACTAAGTACCACTGTTTAAAAGTTGAATAAAGAAACAAACAAAATTTTGCCTGTTATTAAAACCGCTTTATAGAACATCAAATCAGTTACAATCAATGTTGTTTATGGTTTACAAATGACAGATTTTTTATAATAAATATATATTATATAATAAAATAATGACAGCATTTACATAATAACACCCACTAACATTCTGTAAATTTACTGTATCTTTTGAAAAATTATAACTATATATACACAGCACAAGACTTTTAATAGTACTTAAGAGCAAGTTTCATTTTCCCTTGGTTTTACTACCACAATGGGGCACATGTTCACCAAAACGCAGCAAACCTTCACTATCTTATCCTGAAGGGTCTTCTCTTCACCCTCACATTAAAGAAGTAATCTGACCTACACCAACATGGTGGTATGCAGCATTTTGTACTTGTTGCGTAAACTACCTTCAACTCGCTCGACATGAATTATTAGGTGGGCAATAGTTCTTGTATCGTCAATGTCTGTCCTTGGCATCAAGTTGACAGAAGCCTTTTGTAAACGCGGGGATCTTAACCTGTGCACACAAAGATGCTGGACAGGAAGATCAAATGTAAGGCGGATGAGTGTGAGTAAAAGCATTTGGAAATGCCACCGTTTCTTTGATGCTGGCAGGAAAGCTTTTACATTGTTGAATAAGGACAGTAAAATAGCAAAACAAGGTATTCCAGTAGAAACAGCTGGTTTATTTCTGCTCTGTTCACAGCACACACAATCCATCAGCTGTCTTTTAGCTTCTGCGTCTCTCTCTGTCCGATCTCCATTTTCTACATTTGCTGCTACTACCTCAGCCTCCACTCTTGGCCACAGCCTCCATCACGTGGTGATTAAGGTGTCGGTCTTCTGACGTGTCCATCTCTGGCAGCTCTTCATGTAACTTCTATGCAGGCCTCACCTTCAGACTCTGCTCCTCCATTACTAAAGCCTGTCAGATACAATGAGTGCATACATATAAGGCAAATGTTCACCAGAAGTCCAATTAAAAGTGCATGACTCATCAAAAAGCTATGAGCTGATTACCGGACAGTGAGAGCATTTTTTTATGTTGGTGGTGGTGGGAGTTGTATTTACCTCTGACTGCTGCTCTTTGCTGCTTTCGTCGCATTCGTCGTCTGTGACGGTCCAGGTTTGAAGCAGGGATTTCGGAGTGCCCCATGTGTAGCGTTGGAACCCAGTCAGGATTTGTTTCATCCATTTCATAGGCTGGTTTGCCTGCAATTATGCTAAGTAATTAGCAACTCTGTAAATAGAACGCAGTTATGCAAAATTACACATTGAGATATTTGTTCAAATTTGCTATGACTTCAGAGCCTATCGCAAATAAAACTAATAGGCTATACAGAGTAATATGAACTTATTTAGAACTTACCCGAATGAAAATGTCTGGAACACACCAACAGATATCTGGGGATGGTAGAGAACTGGATATCAGCTCGTCTCACTGCTGCTATCCAGGCTAGACGCCTTCTTTTGGTAACATCCGACACACGAGCTCCCTGGTTTTGCTTCCAGGTGGGGAAACAATGAAAAGATAGCCCATTTTCAAGCTTATTCCCTTGCCGGTCGTGCGATCTAACGTTACAACCCATCACACAGCAAGTACGAACCATAGCTGATATTATTCTTCTTTCTTTCTTACATTTGTACTGGCGGTTGGCAAACAAGCTGATATTATTCGTGTGCTTTCGCTCGCTTTGTTTGGCCTACTAAAATGGCACCTCGACCAAAAATCCTGGCCGCACCCCCCTCTCGCGACGTCACGTTCCAAAGCCCATGCGCCATGCGAGGCCCTGTTAACCAATCAAAGGGAAGACAGCGATACACTTTAACCAATCGACGACTCTCCCTGTGGGGAAGCGCATTGTTCAAAAACCCAAAAAGCAATCGGGTAAAGCGGCTCAGCTGGTGCTAAGAGCTCGAGACGAGGAGGGTTTGCTGAACTGACACAGTTTTACCTCAACGTTGGTTTTTGGCGATCTATCGTAAACATTAAGCTAACGAGCTTACTGGAAACCAGCCACATTTTGGACATTCCAGGAAAGTTAAAGTGAGTTTTACTTAAACGTGGGCAATACGACGTTAAACAAGTTAACGTAATAGTTACAAAAATTAATATTAGATTGTAACTATAACTGTTTGACGGAGTTATGTAAGTGTGTGTTAAGCTAAATGCAATATCTACGTTTTTTTTGTGTGCTTGTTTTTGGTTTTGAGTGACTGCACGATATTCCCATTTAAAACCAGGAAGCAAATCTCTTTGTTAGCATATATTGGTACCTGTAGTAGAAATCATTGTTATTAAATGTATGTTAGCTAGTATAAACGTTAAAGTGACTCTGTTTAATTCACTGCAATATAGGCTCCGTTTACTACGTGCTTACTGGAGGCTAAACATGGCTACTTGCACATGTAGGTTCAGCACTGAGGTTTTTATTTTAGTTGTACTCAGTGCTGAGACACCTTCTTTTGAAGGCACAAAGTCTTCTTGCTGTAACAAGCAGTGAAATGTGAATATGGCTCGAGTGATATTTTTTTTTAAAATGCTAAACGTGGATTTTATACTTTTTAAATGCTGCTCAGTGTAACACCAAATACCATTTGGATTAAAAAAAAAGGGAATGAAATTGAAAAACCGAGACTTCTAAACTCGCTCATCTTAATAGCTACAAAGAATAAACATGACAGGACCTGCTGTAGAGCAGTTGTATTGATCAGCACTAATGCCAAACTTGTCTGGTCTGGTCAAAGCCTGGGAAATATTTCCTGTTTGACTACTTAAGCAGGTTCAATTTGGCTTTAAACAGTAAACTAGTGTTCCTTTACCTGTCAGCTTGTTTGATGACGACACACCCATGTTTAACTAATTCATAGCAATGA